CTCTCTGGCGGCTGGAGGGGGGGAGGGACGGGGCTGCAGGAGCAGCAGGCTCTGGAGTGTGGAGCGTCCCCTGTCCTGATCAAGATTTTTATTTTCTTTTTTGGGGCCAGGAAGACGCTGCTTTGTACCGGCACTTGGGTGCCCTCCTGCGCCACTGCCTCATGATCTCGGCTGACGGAGAGGACCGGACAGAGGAGTTCCACAGGTCTTTGTTAGAGAACTGGGCCACGATCTTCACTAGAAATGGGTCTCCCCAAGGCAGATCCTGCCTCACCTTGGCATCGACATCCTCTGCTTGTGTGGGGATGTTGAAGGTCGCTGCTGACAAGTGACATCTTTGGTTTGGCTGTGGGTTCCTTGCGCTTCCAGAACTGAACCAGCCTTGCCCTTCCCACAGGGCTGGTGCTGCAGCCTCCTGGCCCACGGGTGGAGGCGTCTTCTTCAAACCTGCCTGACCCCTGGGGCCAGATTCAGCATCCTCTGCCTCAGCAGTGCCACCCACCTTGATGGGCAGCTTGTCAGAGCAGACGTTTGGTACTTTCATTAAAGAGACCACGGGGTGGCCGTAGTCAGCTGTCAGTCTCCTGAGCCCTGCTGAGAAGTCCCCCGTGCTGTGTTGCTGAGTGTTCCTGGTCCAAGGGCGTCAGCTTTGGCCAGGTGACACCGTCCTGTCCCCAAGAGAGCTGTAGTCAGAGGAATGCTAAGCGATGCGTTGTGTTGGCCATCAAGGTGAGTGGGAGCAATGCAGCAGGAGAGCCTGGAGGAAGACCTTTGGCCACCCAGGCTGGTCCTTCTGGGCCTCTGTGTCAAGATCGATGGTTTCTCAGTTGTCACTGAAGTCTCTGTGGTCTCCCAAAAGATAGTTCAGCTACCCAAAAATCAGTTTAATTTATTCACTTCCAGTGGTGTGAGGAGCTTGGGGTACAACTTGGATCTTGGAGTCCTCACACTCCTGGAAGTTAGTAACAAACCTTCCCTTCTGGATAGCGGAGGAACTTCTGTGAACAAAGATCCATGACTACGTGTTCACTTGTTTTCTCTTTTGTCTGTTTAGTCATACAGTTAATCTTTTGGGCAACCTGCCCCTGAAATGCTTGGATGTCCTCCTGACCCCGAAAGTCCGCCCAGGCTCGCTGGAGTACATGGGGGTCAACATGGATGCAGTCAGCATCCTGCTGGATTTCCTCGAGCGACGCCTCGACAGGGTAAGTTGTGAGGCTGCTGCGAGTTCCTCACCGCTCGGTGTCACGAGCTCACCGCGAGGCACCTCTCCTTGAGGAGCCACGAAGCACTGATGTTCCTGTAGCAGAGGCTGGAAAGCTTCGGCGTCCGTTCCCCTGGTGGTCTGTGCTCGTGTTCTCCACCACAAGCCAGACAGGTTGAGCCCAGCATGACTGACGTGCTGTTCGTTTGGTGGGCGCTTCTGCAGGGACACAAGCTGAAGGAGAGTCTGACCCCTGTGCTGAACCTGCTGACCGAGAGCGCCCGCGTGCACCGCCAGACGAGGAAGTTCCTGAAGGCGAAGGTACGCCGGGTTCAGCCGAGGGTTGGATGCTGCTGTGCTGAGGAGAGAGCAGGGGAGCAAACCGCCTGGTTATTGCCATCCTCCAAGCAGACCTGCCATCTCTCTGGGTTCTGATATACGGGTGGCCGTTGGTACCCATGGTCTTTTCTCCCCACGTTGTGTGGATTTATTAGTTTCAGCGGGTTTGTAAAGTGCACGTGCATTTTCTGCCATCTGACCTGCCGCTGTGCCCTTCCAGCTCTGCTGACCCCCCCTCACTGTGACCTTGCAGGTGCTGCCTCCGCTCCGGGACGTGAGGAATCGGCCGGAGGTGGGGAACTCGCTGCGGAACAAGCTGGTGCGTTTGATGACCCACATCGACACCGACGTGAAGCACTGTGCGGCGGAGTTCCTCTTCGTGCTCTGCAAGGAGAGCGGTGAGCTGCGGGGTCCTGGCCTGGCCTTCAGGGCTGTGAGGGGTCCGGTGCTCGACCTCTGGGCAGGTCAGCAAGCTGGGGGAGGTGGTCTCTGCTCCTTGCTCTCTACAACTCCCTGAAAGGTTGTAATGAGGTGGGTGTTGGTCTCTTCTCCCAAGTTACTAGTGATAGGACAAGAAGAAATGGCCTCAAGTTGCACCCGGGGAGGTTTAGATTAGATATTGGGAAAAAATGCATTATGGAAGGAGTGGTGAGGGCTTGGAATGGGCTGCCCGGGGAAACGGTGGAGTCACCATCCCTGGAAGTGCTCAAAGGACGTGTAGATGTGGCACTTCAGGACATGGTTTAGTGGTTGTGGTATTGTTGGTTTGATGGTTGGACTCAATGATCTTAGAGGTCTTTTCCAACCTGAATGATCCTGTGATTCTATGAACTTCCCCTGGGCCAGGTGCGCCAAGCAGGGACAAGCAGAGAAGGGGTTGCTGTCCCTCACCCATCCCTCACCCGTAGACAGCCTGGCTGGTGCTTGGACCCCCACCCTGTGGGTGCTGCCGGGGGCCCCTGCCGCTGCCGTTCCCAGTGCACGGCATGGGAGCCCCGCTCCCTGCTGGGGCGCAGAGAAGCACTGGCATTTCTGGATCTCCGTGGTGTCGCAGTTCTCTGGCTGTCGGGGCGCTCAGGAGTGGCCGGGGCTGGAGCAGTGGGAGATGAAGCACAGGATGGTCTCTCTCCCTGTCTCCCGGCAGTGTCACGGTTTGTGAAATACACGGGCTACGGGAACGCGGCCGGGCTCCTAGCGGCGCGAGGTCTCATGGCTGGTGGTCGAGAAGAGGGAGAGTACTCGGAAGATGAAGACACGGACACTGAGGAGTACAAAGAGGCAAAACCCAAGTAAAGAAGTCTGCTGCCCCTCTCTAGCACCCCTCTTCTACACCTCCGTCTCACTCCTGCTCTGTTCCGTCCTTTCTTTGCCTCCCTTCCCTCTCCCGTGTCCTTTCACCTGCATGTTTCTGCATTACTCAGCAGTTTCACCCTTGCCTTTGCTGTCCCGCTCCACCCTCCCTCTCCGTTCCTCGGGTGCAATGCCTCTGTGGCCGAGC